ACGATTACACATGTCACGGGTTCAACTCTCGGGGTCGACACAGGTAATGTACACAGGTAAGGTAAAGTCTAGGGATCGAGCCCTAGGATCTGCATTCGCTGCTGCTAGCAAGTGAATACCGTTTCACTCCCGCCTGCCTAAATTCGAGGTCCTCCGAGAATAACTCAGTCCAAGACAGGACCTTTACCTTTCCTATTTCTCTCGTAGGCTCTAACTATGTCGGGAGCTGTTTCTAGAAGTTCAGTTCTGGTAAACCAACGGTCGTCTTCTGGTTCTTGATATGCAAATCGGACCTTGTACTGTTTCTGTGGACGACCTCTACCTCCTGTTTTAAACACGTCTTCACCTACAATGCCGTCAATGTCGTACCTTCCATCCATGTCCGAAGGAATCATGGATCTTCTTGATGGAAACTGTTGACTTGTGACACATGGCARCAACTTTGAYGCATGAARCACRGGATAGGTGTGGAGGTGTGCTGGGATTTCTACTGTGTAGGACGGCCCATCCTCTCCGCCCTTAACTTCTAGAACTGGCCACGGTCCTCTGTAYGCTGGCAGTAAYTTCTGCGAAATGTTTTCCTCAGGAGCAAACTCTTTAGACTTGACCCAGACTAGGTCGCCTACTTGAAATTGCGACGGGCGACGGTGTTTGTTAGCTTGTTCTATCATTCGGTGTTGGGCCTTCCTKWGGTTCTCAACAACGGTAGCTAACTCTTTCTCGTGCTGTACCGCAAACTCCCTAGTASCRGYCGGTAGCCTATGAATCTGATCCCGGTTAAGTCCCTCAAACGGTCTGCGTGGTCTAAAGGATTTGTGCAGCTCATTGGGAGTGCGACACGTGGCTAAGTGCACGCTGTTATTATAGGCACTSGCTACCTTGGGCAACATCTCATCCCAATTGACTTGATCAGGTCTAATGTACATCCTAAGAGCTTGCTGCAGGATCTTATTCATCTGTYCAGTCTGACCGTTGGTCTCTGGATGACGGCCAGATGACATCAGCAACCTAGAGCCATAAACTCTCATCAACTCTTGCCAGTTCTGACTAGTGAATCTGGTATCTCTATCACTAACTATAGAGAGCGGTATACCATACTCACTGACCCAATGATTGAAAAACTTCCCTATAACTAAATATGTTCGTGCCTCTGAAGGCAAAGCAACAAAAACTGCATACTTGCTAAATCTATCAACTACGACCATGACTTGGCTCTTGCCATGCCTACTCTTTACCCCAGTATCCATAAAGTCGATGGACACCGAATCTCCGGGTCTGTCAGGAATAGGCAAAGGTCTGAGAAGACCTAGAGGGGCTCGCGTAGTGGTCTTGTTCCTCTGACACACTTTGCAACTGCGTACGTACTCTACGCAGTCAGCTTTCATACCCAGCCACGTATACGCGCATGAGAGGTTAGCTAAAGTCTTTTGCCAACCGAAGTGTCCCTCTGTGTCGTGACATTCCCCTAGGATCAAACTACGGATCTCCTCACTGTTAGGAATGCACAAACGGCCAACTACGTTAGTCTTCTCAAACAGCAACCCATCAGTAGTACGGTAATGAGGTTCTGTCTCCGGGGCTTCCTTAACTCTCTTAAGGAGGTCGCTATAGATAGGATCCTGCGCATACGCTTCTTCGACTCTTTGCTGCAGGTCTGTTCCTATATCTAAGTAATGCACTATTGCCCCAAAGTAATCGGCTCGTCTGCTAAGAGCATTCGCAACTATGTTGTACTTTCCTTTCACTGGCTTGAGCTCAAAATCATACTGGTTTATCTCTGCGGCCCACCTAGTAAGCTTAGGTGTCATCTTGGCCTGAGTCTTTAACCACCTCAGCGTCTCGTGGTCTGAATAGACTTTGAAGTGCCTCCCAAGTAAGTAGTGCTTCCAATGTTCTAAGGCTTGCCTGAGAGCGCAGAGTTCCCTCTCATAGGTAGATGTCGCAACCTTCTCTGAAGGCATTCTAGCAAACATGAACTCTACGGGTCTATACCCATTGTCATCATCTTGCTGCAACACAACACCTATTCCATACTGACTTGCGTCAGTTGTGACAACAAAGGGCATTGATGGATCGGCTACCTTGAGGACTGGGTACTCTACTAAGGCCCGCTTTAGCTTATTCAGGGCCGAAGTACAGTCTTTGTCCCAACACCAGATTGCTTCTTTCTTTAACAATCTGCGAAGGGGCGCAGCGATAGTAGAAAAGTTCCTCACGAACTTCCTGTAGTAATTAGCTAGGCCTAGGAACGACCGCAATTCTGTTAGTGTGTGGGGCGTCGGCCAGTCCCTGATCGCTGCTATTTTGCTATCCTCAGGCTTTATGCCATCTCCATCT